ATTATATGACGTCTACCTACTCTGGTCTAACTTATCATATAGCTTCATCACATGTTTGGGGATTTATCATTGACTCATAAACTACCAAAAAGCATGCGCATAATGTTTCTTCCGTGGAAAGACAGATACAGACATTCGTCTTCTGAGACGATAGTGCCAGCTATAGACATCATTGTTTTATGTTTTATAAAGTAGCTGTAGTGCCCACCAGCGGCCGAGCGGTAAAGTCGCTGAACACTGGTAGTTCGGTCCGAGGTTCGAATCCCGCGAACGGGCTGGCTGCATGGGCGTTTTCGTGGTTTTCCCCATGTGTAACGTGTATACGAGCCAGTTTCCCTTAGAAAGTCCTCCACGAAGGCATCCCTCCTCTTAGGCAGATAGCCCTCGAGGCTTTGCCATAATTACACACACACACACACATATAAAGTAGCTGTAACCACCGCCTACATAGCGAGAAACATCTAACAGATTTCAAGTAAAACATAGAATAAGGAGGCGCATTAACCTTTGGATGGTCATCAGGGAGCTAAGCTAGCATTCCAATTACGCACTGCAGTGGGTATAAAAACACAGCTCGGATTACAAATTTCCGATTGACAGATACCGTGCGTATTTGAAAAGAAAGAATTACTTAATATCACAAGGTTAAATTCGGCATTCTGGAAAACACCAAAGCAAAAGTTCATTATTTATTGAAAAAGAGTTTATTTGCAAACTATAAAAGGAAATGAAATACGTATTGCTGCCAAATATTAATGAACGTTTTAGGAAATTCTGAAAAACATTATGCAATCTATTTCTTTAACGTGTATATTTTAAAGGCATCATTCCTTATATTTTTTATAGCAGTAATATATACGTGTATGGAATAATGATCCAAAAGTTTGTAGACAAATTTAAGCCAAATTACAAGAGTCGACCATTTTTGCATAAGGAACATGCAGCCGAAAATCAACTTGAGAGAGTTAATTCAGGGTTTTCGGTAGAAATTATATTGGGCAGCGGGAGTGATTATTCTTTGAAGCGCTGATTTTGCCGGACAGAAAAGCTTTTATTTCGGTCAACTCATTATTTGAGTCGTCAACAGTTAATCTCTTCCTCTTGCTGGATACGTAATGTTTAAATATTTGTACTATACCTATACTACGTATTTGCATTATACCTATATATCTGTATATATTGTATCTGTATACCTATACATTTTATTATATTTGTATGCCCAACTTATACTATTGTAATAGCAATGTCCCGCCTTCGTACTCTCCCACCTTGTCCGGGAGTTTCTCTCAATATTCTTCACTTAACATAACCAGATCCCAGAGGACTTCGCACTGAACTCTAGCTGCTTTCAAAAATTTTTATTGTGGTTCCGTCTGTGAGATCCAATACGTCAATGAGTACCTAATCCCGTGAACCAGCTGCTCTGTCGATGATGAAAAGAAAAGGAGGTTGATATCTTCCTTTTAGGGTTGCCTCAAAAGTCTTGGAGACGAATGCCTCTTGACAGAAGGAGCAACTTTTAGCACTCTCACCAATCCATCCATGAGTCGGCACTTAAGATAGCTCTAGCTTCAAATTAAATTAACATTCTCTAAAATTATAAACATACTGATGCCTAATAAACATCTTAAGTAACCTTACATACATTCCTCTGTCTTTTATTTTGCTTCACCTTTATCTAATAAATATAGTATACTTTGTAATAGCAGTGTCCCGCCTCGTACTCTCCTACCTTGTCCGGGAGTTTCTCTCAATATTCTTCACTTAACAACCAGATCCAGAGGACTTCGCACTGAACTCTAGCTGCTTTCAAAATTTTTAATTGTGGTTCCGTCTGTGAGATCCAATACGTCAATGAGTACCTAATCCCGTGAACCAGCTGCTCTGTCGATGATGAAAGAAAAGGAGGTTGATATCTTCCTTTTAGGGTTGCCTCAAAAGTCTTGGAGACGAATGCCTCTTGACAGAAGGAGCAACTTTTAGCACTCTCACCAATCCATCCATGAGTCGGCACTTAAGATAGCTCTAGCTTCAAATTAAATTAACATTCTCTAAAATTATAAACATACTGATGCCTAATAAACATCTTAAGTAACCTTACATACATTCCTCTGTCTTTTATTTTGCTTCACCTTTAGCTAATAAATATAGTATACTATTGTAATAGCAGTGTCCCGCCTTCGTACTCTCCCACCTTGTCCGGGAGTTTCTCTCAATATTCTTCACTTAACATAACCAGATCCCAGAGGACTTCGCACTGAACTCTAGCTGCTTTCAAAAATTTTTATTGTGGTTCCGTCTGTGAGATCCAATACGTCAATGAGTACCTAATCCCGTGAACCAGCTGCTCTGTCGATGATGAAAAAAAAAAGGAGGTTGATATCTTCCTTTTAGGGTTGCCTCAAAAGTCTTGGAGACGAATGCCTCTTGACAGAAGGAGCAACTTTTAGCACTCTCACCAATCCATCCATGAGTCGGCACTTAAGATAGCTCTAGCTTCAAATTAAATTAACATTCTCTAAAATTATAAACATACTGATGCCTAACATCTTAAGTAACCTTACATACATTCCTCTGTCTTTTATTTTGCTTCACCTTTAGCTAATAAATATAGTAAGGAAGAAATAATTTAAAAAATAAATTATAAAAATCAGTCAAAATACGCTTTAATTTTAAATTACTTAGATAGAAAAATCTTTAGCTTTCGATGGAGACAAAGATGAGTTTCTTTTTATTTATTTATTTTTTTTAGTTGTTTTGTTTTGTTTTTAGAGCAGCAAAACATACTGACATTTTTGTTCACTGAAGAAAAAGGATTACATGCTTATCTCTTTCGAAACTAATAAATATTTTCTACAAATTTTTTGCCAGTGTAAGGTTATTTGTGCTTTTAAATGTTTTACTTGAAAATGCCATCCACTTTTTTAACACGGAAAAATTTCTGATCACTTAAGTATATAAAAAATATAATGACATGCCAGGGAAATCTTCACTATAAAATATGGGAAAAAATGGGCATAATTTAAAAAGAGCTTAATATATAAAATTGTAAGGAAACGCTTAATATTTACAAAAGTGTTATTTTGAGTTTTTATCAAAGTTCCGATTTGCAATCAATAGATCGTGCTTCCATTTCTTTTGGACTATGATTAATTTAAATTTTTAAAGATTCTTTTTTTTTTTTTTTTTTTTTTTTTTGGCTGCATTTTCCTTGTCTTTTTTAAGCTAGCATATAATAAGAAATTCAGAAAGCCTCAATATGCGCAGTATTTGTACATTATAGAATATCCACATCTTCTTAAAAATCACTTCCTTTCAAAACATATCTGAGTTTATTAAGTGCTTGTGTTAAATAAACAGCGATTTGAGTATTGCAGACTGTGACATCGATTTTAACGTATCTAGTGAGACAGTAACCGATAGTTAAACTAATACTTAATGAATATAATAATTCAAATTTAACGTTAAAATTAATATATGCAATTTTCAACATTTGCATATGAAAATTTACGGGGCAAGATTTTGGACCAGACCGAAGTTTTGATTCCTGCAAATTTGAACACAATAAGCGGCTGATTTTATTAACCAGTTATTTGTGTCCCGGTGTCCACTGGTCTTTATTACGTTCACTAGAAAATTCATTGCCTTATATTTTATTTCCAGTTTTTTGGGTATCATGTGATAGTTTTTATATGGAAAATCTTATCTGCTTTGAGGTGGGCTCACTGGTTTAATAAAATTATCTATTTAAAGTCTACAAAAACAATTTTGTAGACTTCTTTTGGAGTTCAAATTTAGACCTGTCACCTGTTAAAATTTTTACCCGTTATGTAACTCCAAATTCTAGACTTGCTTACTTTATGTTTGATCTTAATTTAATTTATTTGTTTCCCTTAATAGTAATACACTATATTAAAATAAGTTATACTGGGTTCTGCATTATGTCACAACGCATGTGACATAAAAATTCAGCTCACACGAGGAGCACAATCTAACACAGCATTTTTTTTTCCCACAATCTAAAACAGCAAGTTCTTCAGTCAATCCCAATTATTTATAAGGAAACTGTAAAATTATATATTCAGCTCACACGAGGAGAAGATCATGTAAGTTAATCGTTTCCCAGCGTTTATAAAGATCAAACTCATCCAAAAACATCGTACATTTAGAGCTATCTGCAGGTAAAAAGTGATTTTAATTTTCCGATTAATCCATGTGAAGCATTTCTTTTCACACTAGATGATTAAAATACTACTGGAGGCCTGTTAAAGGATAACTTTATATTGCCATTTTGAATATGAGTAGTACTACTTACGAATAAACTAAAGTATTTCATAGTCAGTTTCGAATTATATTGAAATTAATCTGATTTTTAGTATATAAATTTTGAATTTTTATTTCTTAATCAAAGAAATATTTATTAGAGAAGTCAAAAAACAAGAACCAGCGTAATATTTGTAAATTTTTGCAGGATTTGTTTTGATGATCTTTTTCAGCTGCGGAAGTGTAGAAGTTCTGCAAAAAATTTACAAATATTACATTGGTTATTGCTTTTTGACTTCTCCAATAATCATTATTCGATTTGTTATTTTAACCTAAAGAAATGTTTGCCAAAAATACATTAAATATGCATTTTTAAAACGCATTTTTACACATTCTAAAATATTCATTATTTAGATAAAAGTAAGAAAAAAATTTAGAATTTAAAAAAAAAGATTAAAGAAGTTAAATTAATATTCCCTTTTCACATGCTGTAATTTTTAATTTGTTGTCATTTTCACTCGTGTATATTAGAACGCTCATGAATCATTTTTAGAATTTTACGTAAAGCACAATGTAAAGAATATTAATTTAGAGAACATTAAAATCATTATGAAATCACTTTCAACATTATGAAATCATAATCCAAAAAAATTAGAATGAGCAACATTGCAATCAGCGAAAAAGCTTTCTGTGTATATGGTGATTATATTGAAATAAAACAAAACAAAGAGGAAATGAAGCTGCAAAATTACGAATTCATATTTTATTGTGTCTTTTTTTCATTGCATTTATATAACATATTTATTCTCACAATATCCGTTTTACTCAGTTGTCCTTTCTGCGTTACCTCCAGTAGACGCTTGTTCCCCTTTTTGGCAGCCATGGTTTTGAGAACGCCTCTTTGTTTGGAGAAAGTATATTCTCCATACAGCATAATGGAATCGTAATCAAAGTCCGTCAGAAGTCGGTTTTGTTGAGGTGTTAATAAGAAAAACTGATCTTCTAAACCTAAAAATTAAAACAGGGTTCCATTATTAACAAAATCATATTATTTGGGTAGGATTTTATGTGAATTCTGTAAATCACGCGAAATAACGTCATTTTTAAAATACCGTTATATTCGAAGTACTGTTAATTGTGAATCAAAATTTTATGGTATGAATGACTTTACTTATTATATAAAAAAGTCCAACATGACTAAAATAAACTAATTTAATATAAAGATAGTCTGAAAAGATGTACAGTGACGAGCCGATAGTACCGGTATAGATAAGATTATGCAGAATACCTACTAAGGTTAAAGATGCACGTCATTAGTTGAGTCCATCAGTGCACGTATAAAATTGCAGACATCTAGGAAAGCTTCTAGAGCTGTTTCTACCAACAGGAAAAGTACATTTTACGATTTAAGTAATCTAATATAGGAATTCGTGAGATGGGGGTCATAGCATTTCAGAGATGAAAGAGAACGTTTTAATCTATGACCATTTTAACAGAATATCGCAACTTCAAGAATTCTGTCAAAACTTTGAACTAACAAAAGCAGCGAGCCTTAAAAAGAGACCGGTATCAACTGATAATAACAATTTCACAATGAATGCACACTATTGCCTAAAGTAACATCAAAGTTCAGTTTTGTGCCCCAACAAAAATCAGCTGCAAAATTACAAAATTATGCATTTTGTCTCCGCTATACAGTTCAGACACTAGATAACCAATGTCGGAAAACAAAGAGCCTCGTCTGAAGAGTCATATTTTCTACTGCCTTGCTCACATGGAAGAAATTATGCTTGAGAAAAGCATTATGCATCCACCGATTCCACATTTGAACAGGAGATTGTGTAGGCTATGGTCTATAATCATATCGAGTTTATTTAGTTTACATTCATTGAGTACCTGGTACGTCTTCAAACATGTGACAGGCGAATATTATGTGCACATCCATTCTGATGAGTTACTACCTGGAATGTCTTCAAATATGTGACACGCGAACATAATGTGCACATCCATTCTGTGAGGTGCTACCTGTTACATATTTCCCGAGCCATTCGGCTAGAAGGCGCTGTACACGCTCCATTAGCCAGGGACAGGCAAGATTCTAAAGGTATAGGACGTGGAAGGCAGATATGCCTAATAATATATCTTCAACTATTTGAATTTTTTTTTCTATTTTTTTCGTAAATAAATTTTGTTGTTGTTTTCAAAAGCCGCTTTGATGCACTTTAGACACACCGAACCATTAAATGCAAGCCTATCTTTAGAGAGCTTTCATTCCGATAAGTTTATACTCTTCTAAAACAAAGATGTGCTGTAATGTAAGTCCATAAATATCAGACTCTGGTTTAAAAAAAAAAAAAAAAAAACATTTATCTGAGTTTGGAAACTTGTCATGACGAATCAAGTCATAAAATCTCAATCTTGTTGAGCCCGTTTGTGACGCAATACAACGCTGCAAAATACATAGTGCACTCCTGAACACATCAATATTATTGTTTGCTATACAGGAAATAATGGTGTTCAATCCCTAGAGAATACTTCTGCATACTCATGGAATCCAGTTTTTACCGTTCAGTGCTCCTTTGAGGAATCTAATTAGTATTAGGCTGGGATATCAGTTTCTTTTTTGCATTTCAGTGTATGTAATATATTTCTATTAATTATCACATCAGATTAGAAATTTGTGTTTTGGACGAGTTATAGTACAAAAGTTATTATATTCATAAAAATGTTTAAGTACCAATTTTTCTATTATCTAGTTACTTTAAGTGAGCTTCATAGTCTGCTGTTCATATACAGAATCTTTTCGCTGAACGTTAGAAAAATTGAAATTGTTATTATTTTTAAAACCCACTTTTATGAAAATTTTTAAAGCAAAATGTTAGGTGTTAAAATATGTTGCGTGTAAAGAAAACTAACTAACTAAATAATTATGTTAAGACTTTAAATGATCTCTCACTAACGAGAATTTTTATCACAGCAAAAACCATTTTCTTATTATTACGAAAAGGAGGGGATACATAAAAATAGCAGCGTACTAACCTTCTTTGATGTTTTCCCAGTAGATTATTAAGTATTCGTCTCTGTCCGACCTATTTTGCTCATGGTAAAATCCTAAAGCATGTCCGAGCTCGTGAATAACTGTCCCCATCCAGTTGCAGCCTTGTCCGATGGAAACAGGTTGTTGACCACCAGTTCTGCCCACGTGAGAATAGCAGCTGGCCAAAAATAATTCATTTATACTATGCGAGTAATATGCTTTATTTAATAACTCCTTCTTCATTCATATTTAGATGCAGTGAAATAAACATTGCGGCATATTTAGCAACTTTTAAATATAGATTGCAAGATTCATACCACAATGACTCTCTCACAAGAAAAGTCTTCCAACTTTATATTTACCTCAAAATAATAATAAAAAATAAATAAATAAAAATTAAAAATGTATGTATGAATCTACTCATCAAGAAATATATAATAGTAAAAGAACTGGCTGCTAATATTCTCTAGATAGTAATAACAATTAAGTGCGAGAATTCTAATCGCCACTGGTGAACATTTTTGACAAATCTGATTGCCAGTAACGAATTTTCTAACAAAATTTTAAACGTTTATGGAAATTTCTATGAAAGTGCTGCGTAGCTAAATATAGCTAGCAACTAAAATATACTTATATATTTGTGATTTCCTATTCATGTTGATTTAGTAGTCAATTCATGTTGATTTAGTAGTAGAGGAAAAGCATTTCTAGATTTTGCCAATAATTTCAGTGTTTTATCGAGAATGCTTTCCTCGTTTTTCAGTAAAATTGCAATCTGCATTTAAGCGAATTTTAAATAGATTTTTTCAGAAGAAATACAGTGCCTTCTGTACCTTTAAAAAGAAAGTTATTGAGATAATAGGTAAATTACTGTAGATAAGGTAATACGAGTAAACATAACGTTTTAGTTATATAAGGCAAACTTTCTGTCAGGATCTGCTGGGCTTTAAGAACTCTTTCTTCTGATAGTACTTAGTTAAGAAGATAATATTAGCACAAAGTTTCGACATGCGAAGAACTGTAATTTGTCCTTTACGCCTTGTCTAATTAGGTACGAAAATATAAATAACAGCATTTATTTTCAGTTTTAAGACCCACAATTATTTCAGAAAATAACTTTGGTATTAGTAATTTGTTTCTGTGAGAGTAATCTATTAAAGAAACTTTCAGAACTTAAGTACCAGAATTTATACTGAGGAATTAATAAATATAGAAAATATCCATTGCCCATTGTCTACTAAGCCTAAGCGACTTTGCCTTCTAAGAAGTAAAAAGCATTATTGCCATAGTAACATATACAACTTAATATTTGTATGTAGCTTACCCTTGCCCTGGGAAAATTCTGATGTAGTCTGTTTCATTGGTTCTTGGAACAAATCGAATACACGTGCTCTTCTTGTAATAATAGAACGCTCCATGGAATGTCGACTGGACTAAAAATGCAAAAAGCATTTGATTATACCTTTCTAAAGCATAAAAATAAAAACTAGTTAATTCTTAAAAAGTTAAACCGTATACATAACTTTGCAGTTTTGGAAAGAAAAAGACAGGAATATCTTCAACTGTGTTTAATAGAAAACACATTCTGTACAATCATTGGTAGCAAATTAATCAAGGCTATGAGACAGAAGCAAATCGCCCCGCGAAATATTCCCTTCATGCATAAAAATTGATTATCAAAATCGTTACCATAAAAGGCGATTTGACCATCTGACACCTTTTTTACTTCTGATCTCAAATGAGCAAACTTTTAAACATTTTGAATTTTACTAAATAACTTATATATCATTCAATGTTTAATCTTTTAAATAATTTGTATTTGCCTTCAACTTATGGTGACGCAATTAGTACAAAAATTCATGAAAGAAATTAAAAGATCAGGCTTTTTAAAAACAATTATGTATGTATTTAGCTACCGTTATGTCTATTAGATGGTACTGTACTTTGTATAAAACGACATTTTTTATTTAAACTACCAAAGTCAAAAGCCAAGATCATGCCGATCTGTCACCAAACATCATTTTTCCCTAACCTGAAATAATGGAAAACATTACATTTTGTGGTTGGTTTGGTTTATTTTATTACGGCAGAGCTATATGCCTAACGGAAGAGATACCTTCATGGAGGACTTTCTAAGGGAAACTGACTGGTATCTGCATTACACATGGGGAAAACTACGAAAACGCATACGCAACCAGCTTTTTCGCCGGGATTCGAATCCCGGACGGAAGTACCAGTGTTCAGTGACTTTACCACTTTGACTCTAATGGATATCAGTTTTTTTATATTCATTCATGATGGAGCATCCGCAGTAAAGTTTCTTTCTTAATCCTACTTTTGGTAAAAGTGGAGTAACACTCCGCAGCTTTCAATATAAATCTTTATCCAGAGCCTAGGAGTAAGATGTTTTCATTTCTAAACATGAAGTTATTCGAAATTACGGTTATGTGGAGACGATTCAGTGGCAGTATGAAGAGACATTATACGATAGTATATCCTATTGATTCCTATGATGTATATCCTATTGATGGTATGACATTTCTGCTGTCTATGTCTCTTAGTTCGTCTTCAAGCTGCCCTTAGTTCTTTTGTGTATTAGTGAATGCTCATTTAATATTAATTACGAGGTTATTTGTGTTCTGCTATATATGGGGCACCATCTGGGAAACGGACAGTTTAAAAGAAAGTTTTTTAAAATTGCTAAAAAAAACTTCATTTTTTCATTTCTGTATTAAAGGTCTGCATTCATTTCTGTAAGTTAAAAATTCACTGAAATATAATTTTAATTTTTGAAACGATTGCAACTGTGGAGAATCGTTTCACTTTTCCCCAGCAGATGGCAGAACTATTCAGAACTTGATTTCTTTCGGCATCACAAAGTGCATTTTGGGATTAGAGAACATTCTGTTTGGAGAATCTAGTAATTGTAACGAAATAATAATAATAATAATAATTAATAATTAAAATTGTGTAGGTTGTTTGTGAATTGTGTTTTATGGTGTTAGCATCCTTTATTTTGTCGACAAGAACTTCACGGATCATCCTGTAAATACACCTTTCTCAACCGGGGTTTACATGGAAATCTCGGGAACTCACAGAAGGTTTGAGGTAATCCACAAGGCAAAACTGAATTTCCAGGATCTATAACATGAACTAACGGAATCCTGACAAAATATTGTCAATAAAATAATTTAATAATAATAATAATATAAACTAATGTCATGTAAATGTCCAAAAATTCGCAAATAGAAGACTCGTGTTTTCATGTAACCTTTTTTAGTTAATGGAGGGAAAAAATTCTGCTCATAGAAAATTCTAGAAGAAGAAATCATTAAAGCATCAACTTATTAAAAAACTCCGTGAATCAGAGATAGTCGTTTCATTCTATACAAATTAATCGGTATCGGTGTTAAGGCCTACCAAGGTCGAGTAATAAAGTCGCTGAACACTGGTAGTTCGGTCCGAGGTAAGAATTCTACGAACCGGTTAGCGTGGTTTCGTGGTTTATCCCATGTGTACCATGTATACGAGCCAATTTTCCTTAGAAAGTCCTCCACGAAGGCATCCGCCCCATTAGGCAGATAGCCCTTGAGGCTTTGTCGCAATCATACAAATCAAACCGGTATCGTTGTGGTGAAATTTATTTTTCCATGTAATTGAATGCTATTATTATCTAGTGAATTATGTTTGCTTGGATTTGCAGTGGTGCAGTCGAACCTCCTCCTCCGTAAAACAAAATAAAAAATATTAATTTTCAGTCATTTTTTAAAATTTATATATATTTTTAGCTTTAATTTTACAATTTCGTTTTTAATATTCAGCTTTTGGTGCTTAAAGCTGAAAATAATTGCACAAATAGTAAACATTAAAAAAACTCTTACAAAACTTGAGCGCCAGGCATAAATATGCTGATATGAAAGGATCAGTTATGCAAGGATCTCATTAGTAGGGCCTACCTATTTAATAGCCTTAAGAATACATTTATACTTGCTGCTCGAAATAGTTTGAGTAATTGTTTTAACTGTTTCTCTAAGCAAAAATATGTGTAAGTTTTATCAATTAAAATATTCAAAATTTCTAATTTACATTTCTGATGTTACATTTAAATTATTTAATTATTATATTTTAATAACATAGAAATAAACATTTCATTTAGAAGTTATTTAACTGTTTAATTATTAGTTTTTAGTATTCTACAAATAAATATTCCGTCCAGGTGCCTTATATATATGTATATATTTATTCACATGCTTAAAATTAGAACTCTAGGGGGGGAAGAAAAAAAAAAGAAAGAAAGAAATTGAAATCCTTGGTGTAAATTGATCAAATTACAATTGCAAAAATATTTGTAGATTTCTTTAATTTAACGTTAACGCCTTTATGCTATTACTTAACGAATTATTCAGATTTCCGGTCTTTACTATAACTTTTCCTTTGCGTATGCCTCACCAGAACGCAAATGAGTTAGCCAGAATTTAAACTAAGCGTCTGAATTTTAAAAGTGTGCATGTTTATGGTTGCGCGTGCATACTTCTTGTTAGTTTCCTGCTAACTCTTATAGCTGTAATAATTCGTCTTTGCATTTTGTCATTGTCGAAATTTTGATTTTGACGCTTAGATAGAAGTTCTGAGCGAGCTTTTAGTAATTTTATGTTGTTCTGGATTGCTGCTCAATTTCAACTTAAATTCGACTGTCCTGTTTAGTTCTATCATCACGAGTTCTGGCTGATATTGTAGCACAAAAGCGTGTGTTTTCTTTTCTAAATTCTGTTTTAATTAAAAAAGCTATTTAAATCTTCACAGGACTTTAACCATAGCAATAAGTCTCTTCTAGACTGTTATAGAGTTTTTGGACTAATTAGCATCACCAGTTCAAGTAAAACCATACAGCTTAACAATAGTTTACAATTTTCTAATAGTTTGCATATGCAGCTGTCTAGACTCACCGAAACGCATTAGATTTATCATATATAGTTTGCTGTTTTTAACTACTCTTTGGAAATTATTTTTATAGCTTTTTCTTCCAGGTATAACAGAGAACAGATGTAGAATCATTGAACTCGATAGCATCCTTCTCTAAAGCAAACAAAGTTGTACAATTGTATTAAAGATATTTGATTTCGCTTTTTGTAGAGAAGACTGTCTACTATTGATAAGACAATAGCCAATAACGCTTTAAAATATGAAATGAAGCAAACGACATTATATGATATATTTTTATTGCCTTCTCAAAATGTAAAAGAGTTAGGTATTAGGTAAATATAACGGTCAAATTATGTTTATCATGCTTATATTTAATTAAGCAGAAATCTTGATTTAAATGATATCGATTCAATTGTTTTAAAAGAATGGTTTTTAAGGAAAACTTTCGGCAATCTCTTGATAACTGCTAAATTAGAATTAGATTATGTGTTCTTTTTATTAATATCCAAGTGAAAGCAAACCACTAGTAGTTAGAAACAAATTTAAATGAAATAAGTGGATTAAAGAACTCACATCATTCCTTTGTCGATGGTGTAAGGAACGACTCCTCCTGGCCATAATCTGTCATCACCAACAATCGCGCTTTTGTCCTAAAAAAGTTAAGTAGAGAAAACTAATTGGAAAAATCTATTCTAAAGAGGTTTCGAAAGAAATGAATTAAAAATACCTATTTTAGCATGAATGTTTTATTCGTGTTGTGCGACTAGTAATGGATGAAATGTTTTGTCTCACTGGATTTTAAAATGTTTTGTTGTAGAGGAAAAGTTAGATTTAGGTTTTATATTATAAATTATTCTTAATATAAATTTTAATTTTACCTATAACAGCAAAGATAGCAGGAAAATTATGATTAGAAAAACTTATTTTTAGAAATTTGTACATAATAATATTATTAATTGAATTATTATAAATTGTTAATATATATTAATTTAAGCTCTGAATATTATGTACCAAATTCTTTCCAAACGAATATTTCTTAGACTTTTTCAAGGGTCTACTATTCAGAAAATTTTGCAAGTGGATTAACAGACATTAAATGTAAGAAATTCACATTATTAATAACTAGAAAAACCTAATGTGAGCAACTTTAATTTGTGAGATAGTATTTTACAGCAGAAGTTTTCAAACTTTCTTACACTGTGCCTTATTTCACCTAAGAAAATCTCCTTTTTGTACGCAAATAACACTATTTACACTGGTGTGCAAAAATTAAGGACGAGACGGTTTTTTCAATATAACTTTGTACAAAAGCTTTCCAAATCAACACATTTAATACCGTAAGATCCCCAATACAGGACATGAGTAATGTAAGCAACACTTACTAAAAGAGAAATCAGAGGGATAAAAAGAAGCTTTATTGAAAAAGTAGCATGGAGCGCAATGCGACTGAAGGCCGAAACATCCCTGTGATGGGTGTCCAGCAAGAAACATCCGGTCTTTAATAGGGGATATGATCTCCCTGACTGCTAGGCAGGTTTCGCAGCGTCTGCCCATGCTGAGAATGAGGGTGTCAATCAGTTGTTGAGGCATTGCTGCCCATTCGTCTTGCAGCGCCAATCGAAGCTCCGGAATCGTTACTGGTGGTAAGGTACGAGCTGCCAAGCGTCTGCCTAGAAAATCCCATACATGCTCGATGGGATTGAGATCCGGAGATCGTGCCGGCCAATCCATACGTTCAATATCCTCACTCTCTAAGAGCTGTTCGGCAGCTACTGTGCGATGACATGGTGCATTGTCGTCCATGAAAAGGAACTGCGGACCCATAGCGCCTCTAAAAAGACGCACATATCGAAGAAGAATCTCGTTACAATAACGGGTCCCGTTGACTGAACCTGCGTCGAAGATGTGAAGACTACCAAGCATGATGCCTCCCCAAACGAGAACACCGCCACCTCAATACCTGTCCCTTTCAATGATGTTCGAGGGATAATTGGGGCTTCCCCGCTCTCTCCAGATGAGTATGCGATGAGAATAGCTACTCAGACTGAATCTGCTCTCATCTGTAAAGAGTACTCGTCTCCATTCATTGTCTCTCAATTCCGGTGTTCCCGGCACCACAGAGAACGCCTTCTCCGATGGGCAGGCGTTAGAGGTACACACCGTACAGGGCGTCGTGCAAACAGACCACCACCGTGCAGTCTTCTGGCCACGGTAAAACGCGATATCGGTCGTCCAGTCGCCTGTGTCGTGTGTCTAGCGATTTCTCCCGCTGTCTGCCGCCTGTTTTTTCTGGCCTGTAAGGCAACATACCGGTCATCTGCGGGTGTAGTTCCTCGTGGACGACCACTACTAAACCCCCGGATAGCTATTCCTGTAGTTTGAAATTGTCTCCAAAGTCGTGAAACGATGCTGTGAGCAATTCCGAACTCTGCAGCCACACTTGTCACACTGCGGCCTTCCTCCAACTTCCCAATGATTCGACCTCGGGTAAAAGCATCCAGATGTCGTCTAACAGATTGATTATTCGCCATTTTTCGCTGAGGCAGCAACTCGGTGTGATTTTAACTGCTATACGGCGGCAATCTCTTTGCCAGAAATACTGATCTTACTCCGACAACATGCTTTATACTACTTAGACACTCCCTCATTACGTCTACCTGCATATCTGCGCATGTGCTACCGTACATCACCTTACTTAATCTCCTGATTGGTCTTTCTGTCCGCTCTGCCTCTTCGTTCAGCTGATATGCTAATTTTTCGACTTCGTCCTTAATTTTTTCACACCAGTGTACTTTACCACTTCTGTTGGATGGTTATTTCATTAAGCACAACACGAGAGCTACCTGCCTAAGAGAAGGGATGTTTTCGTGGGGAAATTTCTTAAGAGCAATTATTTTACATTTACGAACATGTGGAAAATCATAAATACTTTATGCACACCGACCGTTCGCCAGAATATGAATTTGATGGAAATTACTTGTGTTCGGCAATCTTATCCATCCGGCCAGCTAGGCTTTTAGTATTTTAAGTACTTACATATTGTTCCATCAACTATGAAAGTTGGCTACCTTCTAACTCTAAAATTTTGCGAAAATCCCGCCAAACTTTCGCCTACGCTAATCGCTCCAGCAGAATTCTGAAGAATTGAATAATAGTTGTTTATTTAATGAACAATCAATATTCGATCTTAGTTTTTGAGCTTCGTAAAACGGTTTTCTTCTATTTCTGTTACCTATTTCTTCTATTTTAGGCCCTTCGGTTTTACCGGAAATTCTGCTTAGTACACTGTGAGTACAAACTTTCCTCAAGTAATTGTTACAGTCTATTACTGTTTTGTAGGCCATATTCAGCTGACATTATTATCATAAATACACACTTTTTTCTATGGTAGAATTCCATGACCTTGAAAATAATCCAGTGCTTGCTGTTCTGCAGAAGACCAGTCCCAAAATGTACAGATTAAAATACAATGGGGTGTATTAGCCGAAACTACTGCACAAAGCCCGGGTTATAATACAGGGTTGAAATGAACTAACTCAATAACACGAATTTTTAATAAAATAATAATAATAAAAAAAACAGTTGCGGGTCATGACGGTGTGGGACTTGGATATATTTAGTCCCGTAATTTCAGAAATTTGTTAAACAAGAATATGCGCGTTCAACAGCATATGCGAGGAGTGATATTTCTAACGGGCAAATATGCCCATAGCTCCAGCAAGAAAATCTTGGCTCTTCTCAGAACACCACTTTCGTTGCTCAAAACCTTGCTAAAGAAGTTATCACACATGGCTACAGTCCCTGCTAGACGGGACTTTTCTGATAGCACTGGTTTAAACGGGTGGATTCCTAGAAAAAAGAGCCCGCCTGAAGCGAACTCCTGCCTAGCTACGGAAACAATGTTGCAGCTACGCGGGATTTTTTAATTCTCACCGAAAAAGTCTCGGCTGGACCTCAGTCCCGGGTAGAGACAACCAATCAGACGATAGTTCTGCTTCTGAAGCCTCACGTGATCCCAACCTGAGTGATAATCGATTAGTGTTGGGCTTTCAAGTCTTTGTAGTAAGTGAGAATGGTAACTTAGCTACGTGGGTTTCCTGGAAGTGTGCGGGTTCTAAGAATTGTGTCTTTCGACTTCAAGTCCCGCGTAGTCCAAACATAATGTGATTGAGACTTAACTCTCGCTGTCGTCACCTCCGTTGAGTTCTTGTGGGGGGAGAGAATTCCGTCACTCATATGTAACAAAGGTGTCCACATTCTGACCCTGATGAAGAGACTTTTTAATCCCTTTGTCTCTTGGAGTGACTTTCGAGGATGAAACCGGAGTCATTAACAAAAGGTACCTCGTTGCAACAGGATTTCTCTTCTGATATGAATGGGGTACTATTGCATTCAGAAATCAAACTAGACAAAGAACATCTATATGATATTATCACAACACCTCCCCTCATAGAATTTTCCTAGACTATGGATGGAAAAATTCTCAGTACTTTTTCACTGTTTCCAGAACAAAAATGCTAACCATTTAAGTGATAATAGAATGATAATAACCATTATAATAGAGTGCTAATAACCATTATAATAGAGCGATAATAACGATTATAAAAGAGTGATAATAACCATTATTATAGAGTGATAATAACCATTTAAGCCAGTTAGTTAATCTACACTTATTCTTAGATTACATCTTCTTGAGACAGATAGCATAAAAGGTAAAATACAATAAAAAGATTTGAGCTGCTGCTATTGTCTGCCTTACACAAAGTATATTACTCAGTTTTGGAAACTAATAATTCCTAATTCCTACTTCAAAACTGAGTTTTCTCCAAATTTTTAGGGGCCACCAGCAGCCGAGAGGTAAAACCGCTGAACACTGGTAGTTCGGTCCGAGGTTCGAATCCCGCGAACGGGCTGGCTGCAGGGCGTTTTCGTGGTTTTCTCCATGTGTAACGTGTTTACGAGCCAGTTTCCCTTAAGAAGTCCTCCACGAAGGCATCCCTGCCCTTAAACAGATAGCCCTAGTGTACTTTGTCGTATTCTCAATACACCATCTCCAAATTTTTACAAAGTACTAAGGATAAAAACATTTGATTCTAACCATTTTGAAAAAGAAACACACGATGCCAACAATTTTGAATTATAAAAAATATAATGCCAAAACACTACAAAAAGTATTTACGGCAATTATCTTTTTCCTGGAATCTATCTGCGTTGGATCAGCCAATGGATAAGAAATATCATCTTCTCCCTCGATATTCTCAACTACCTCCTCCATCATCAGATTTACCAACTCGGGCCACTGATAGAGTTTCATCAAATTGACATGATAAATGGTGTCACTTTTACGCTTACCCGGAATCTCTACGGTATAATTGGTTTAGAAAAATCACACTGGTTATTTGCCCTGGTCCTATCCAATTTACTGCCATTTTGTAACGCTTAGATGTGGCTAAAACAAGCAAGAGATCCTCAAGCTTAAACCTTCTCTTAACAGCCTTGCGTTCATAACAGTCTCCTTTTACTCTGACACTCTTTCTCCAACGCCAACTCCTGACACTTTTTTGATCTATTCACCAAGTCTCCACGAAAGTCTAAAAAACGATCCACGAAAGTCTAAAACATACTAGACCACAGTGGGGTGTAAACAGGATCGTTTGGGACGTTTTCAAATTTTTTCGTCTACTAACTCACTAAAACCTGTGCTCTCATGGTTCTAAGGGCAAAACAGTTCTAAGGGCGAACAAAGCACAGGGCAAACACTCTTCCCAGCCCTTCCCGCTTTTCAAACACAAAGCTTTCAATACCCTTTTCAAGGTGGAGTGAAACCTTTCAACATAATTGCTTTGAGAATGATGACACACCGAAGAATGATACACCTTCATCCCGAACTTACTAAAAAACTCAGATGTAAGTTCACTAGTAAACGATCTACCCAAATCACATTGAATCTCTTTAAAGTAACCTGATGTAGAAAAGATTTGTATTAAGGCTTGAATTACACACTTAGAGCTTAAATTCTGCACAGGAATGGCATCTGGATATTTGGAAGTAACACAAAATTACGTAATTAAGTATTTATTTTCACGTCAACTAGAGATCAGAAGTTCTACTGCGTCGATATTTAATCTGCTATATATTTCTAATATAACGGGCACAGTCTTCATCGGGGCTTTCTTTTTTATTTCTATTGTGACCTACATGCTGACAAATATCACACTTCTTCACAAATTCTTCAATTTCTCGGTAAAATTTAGTCCAGAAATAGTGTCTCAGAACTTGGTTTTTGTTACCCCTAAATAACCAGCGATAACTTCAAGATCCCTTTTCTAAAAACAAAAGGCACACGGACCTGAAGCTTATCTTCTCCTTTCTTTGAACCTGCCACTCTGACTAGCCTGCCCTTTACAATTCTAAGCTCTTTTACTCTTTCGCTTTCCCCTTTCTTCCACAGGGTTGCTAAACTAGCTCATGCCTTTTGTGCTTCCAAGAAATCTGCTGGAGAAATATCCGAAAGGATAGACCTTTTTTCTGAACTGATGACTGGAATTTCAATGGAGTCCTCTGTATTACTTGTTAACTTCCCTTCTTCCTAAATCTCCTTATTCACAACACTTTCACTTCCTAACACTTCCTCTTCCGATCCGGGCTCCAAGTCTTCCGCGCCCACTCTCTCTAAACTCTTGCTCACTGGCGCCGGACTACTGGTTTTCACAACTTCTCAACATAACTGGTCGTCCCCTAATTTCCTCTATAAACTGCACGGTTTTATTTCCTAACAAATAATAGACTTTGTCTAACTCCACCGGAGTAACCGCTGCCTTTGAGATGAATGAGAAATGCCTCATTCAAAAAAATCTTTCTGTTATAGTTAACGATCCTAATTCCAATCCATCTTTGCTTCAGCCTTTAAAGAAATTATATTTTAGTTCTGGTTTCATCAACAGATGGCGCCAGTAGCTTGACTCCTGTCAAGTCTTTCTTATCTTATCTTATCTAATCACTATATCTTATCTCGTTCATTTGCGCTTTTACAGCTGAGGATGATAGTTCGGTAAAACCATCGAAAGTAGTCCTGCGAAAATTTCACAATATAACGCTGATTTTTGTTGTTTGTCTTCCAAGTTGATATATCATCTATAGTTTCTGAACTAAAATTTTAGTTCTAGATATTTAGAATAAATTTATTCCTGCATTTAGTTAAATTTGTGTTTAATTTTGTAAATTATTTATTTCTTTAGAGACAAGAAGGTAATTTTTGCTTATGTAATTATACAGCTTTTCCACCACTTTGTTGAGCTGAGTGACATCTATTACTTTGAATACAAAAATGTATAACCCGATCATATGTTGTATTTCATATTTTCTAAAAAATAAAACTTCAGTATTACCACATACATTAATATCATCGATTCCTAGTATGTCTCCTCCAAAAAGGTCTGGGTTCTCCATCGGTAGATCTCCTAGGTACACTGTAAGAAAACATAACGATTACTCCAAAAAGTATTCGACCTTCGTTTTATTATCTAAACAATGCGTCATTAAAAACATTAAACAGGGAACTAGAAATTATATTTGTGCAGTGGGAAAATTAAAGATCGAAGATATGCCTCAGGCACATCTCCAAAGAAATTAGATAAATTTATGCTACCATAAAAAAGCAAAAACATTTTAGATTATTCGACGTGTGTCCAAAAGAAGAATAAAAAAAGATTTATGTCATAGTTTAGTATTTTATAGGATGTCTGTTAGACTTGATATTAGCCTTCAGTATTGGTGGCATGCTTACAACTATTTTTTTAGTGCAGTCACTTTGTATTTTATACCGTTCTTCCTCTAAATGTTGTTTTAGTTTCTTGTTTGTAGTATCTTTATTTCTGATCCTTCGACTTAATTCTCCTCATAAATGTTCAATTGGATTTTTATCTGTGGGTGTTTCAGATACTTTTAGTAGTGCTTTAGATCATTATCCTGCATGAACGCAAAATCTGTCGATAATACCATTAATTGAGCAATAATAGCATATAAATTTCTTTTTAAGATGTTATTATACACCTTATGGTCCAGAAGTTGTTCGGAGATTTCTCAAATGAATGTATTTATTTGGCTGTCTTCAAATTGTCATCTGCTTTAAATAAGTTATACTTGTTAAATACAACTTTTTCTCCAAAGTCTAGGAGCTTGTTTCCATCCTTTTCCGCAAATGATAGCCTCCTCTTTCTATTCACTTCAGACACGTAATAATCTTTTCTAGCTGATCGTCCTTTATAAACAAACACCTTAAGGCCATTTCTTACAGTTTGGGTACAAACTTCTTCCTTAACTAGTAGTTTTAGTTTTGGATAACTTAACGTCGGGTCTTTTTTTGTTGAAATTATTTCTTTTTCCCTCCGATGGATTCATTTTTTCTTTTATTTTTTATCGTCTGTCGCCGACTAGGTCACGTGACTGGCGGCAGAAAAGGAATGTAATACTCTTTTTAGTTAAAGCTTGAGGGCGACGCCTTGAAATGATCTGTTCTTGGCCGCATAGCGGTAATTGTTCTTGATAAACGAATTTTGGCCCTATGATGGGAAAATTTATAATATATGTATGATTGTGCTTTCAATAATGTAAATAATGTACATAAGCTCTTCATTAAATGTTTTGTTTTTATATAAAAAAAATAGAATCGTGAATTCGTGAGCATAAACGTGACAATTTTTATACACATATTTTTGGTGCCGAAATTCCCGGACCTTTAGATACTTTACGAAATCGAAACTGAATATAGTTCTTGAATATAGTTCTATGCTGGAATAATGGAAGGATACCTGAAAATATCAGGTAAGCCATTTTCTTTTCATTCTTGAAGTATTCAACCTTGAAAAAAATGATTGATTTAAATAAAAGTATTGAATATTTATGTTGTTTTATTGAAATATTACTTGAAAGAATAATACTTCATTGATGCTTGAAAAAATAATTTATCTTAATCGAAGGAAATTTGTGGACTATAAATATATTGTTTTTAAAAGGAAGTGCTTAAAATATTGAAATACTGTACTTTAATTTTTGTTTATTACAATTATTTGTTGAATTTTATAAGGTTATATTCCATTACTTGAAATATGGAAAATATAGACAAATTAAAGTCGAAAAGAGCTGCTATCAGATCTGCAATCACTAAACAAATAAATAAAGCAGAAGATTTGCTGGTAGCAGCGATTGAAAGAACTGACACAGATTCCTTGTTAGAGTGTCAGGATATTTTGTCAGAAAAAGAAAATTCTTTAAATGAAATTGATAAAGAGATAGATAAATTGATTGAAGATAAAGCTGAATATGAAAAAGAAATTAAAATCGGTTGAAGAATACTCTCATAAAATTTTGAGTATGAAATCCAAAATTAAGAATAGGTTAAGAAAATGTAAAGCAGATACGAAGAAGTTGAGGTAATTCAAAACCTGTAACTCCTGTAATCGAAAGTAAATTTGTTGCGGCAGTTAAGTTGCCGGAAATTAAATATTGAAAAATTCTCTGGTGATCCCAGCACTTATTTAGAATTTATTAACTGTTTCAAGAATGCTGTGGATAACAATGATTCTTTGTTCAAAAATAAGTAAATTTCAATACCTGAAATCTCTTTTGACAGGTACTGCATATAATGTTGTATCAGGGTTTGATCTCACTGATGAAAATTATGATGAATGCCTAAAATTGTTAAACGAAAGATATGGTAGGCATGATACAATCATAAACTGTCATATAAATAAAATTTTGAACTTAGAGCCAGTAAAATCATCAAATAATATAAGGGGACTTAGACATCTGTATGATAAATGTGAAATACTCGTACATATCAGAAATCTCAAGTCAATGGGGGTAACAACAGGTTCATACGGGCATCTACTTTTGCCTATACTGTTAAAATTGTTACCAGAAAACATGGTTCTAGAATTTCATAAGAAAAATAATACAGAAAATGAGTATAAGGTCAATGACCTATTGGAATTTATAAGAGAAGATTTACGTGCCCGTGAGGCCACAATATTAGTAAATAATTCTTCTAGTAATAAACAACATGACACTTGCACTAATTTTAATTCCAAACAAAAATATAATCAGAACTTTTCTTCTAAGAAAAGTGTTCCTTCGGCTGCTGCCTTGAACACTTCTATAAAAATATTTTGTGTCTTTTGTGACTCTTCAGATCATACAAGCTTGAGTTGTAAAAGGTATACAGACCAAGAGAAACGTTTTAAATTAAAGAAGGGAGGACGCTGTTACAAGTGTTCT